TCAACGCCTTTGCATAACCCCATCCTAGCGCGATTAATCGCAAAATTCCTTCAGTGTTGACGATGAAGAATCACGTGCCATTGGTGGGTAAACAGTGGGAGAAGGACTGCAGCTATGTTTGGTGTGAACGATGTCGAAACAATTCGATCACACTTATAGTACATGAAAGGAGAATGTCGGGGAAGATGGTAACCAAATGAGTTTCACATTGTAAGTACCAACAGTTGAGGAGAAGCTTCAGAGAATGTTATGTTTGATAGACAAAAATGACTATCTTTTACCAGAGACTATTCACTCATTGAACGACTGAGACCTTCTCCATGTGATGCAGCACTAAGTAGCTAAGACTGACGAAGCAGTGCTACAAAACTGGCTGCAAGGATAATAACACTTTGAGGTGAGGAGAAAGAGGATACCGTCTCTTGCTCAACCCCTATAGTCTTCAGTCAAACCGTTGTTGAAGCGACTCACCATTTTGTGGACCGAAAAGGAGGTAATGCACATCCTCTGGGAGACCGAGTGGAGTGACAGTGCCATCACTTGACACCACTGGTTGTTCTGGTTCTTGCGTTAGTGCCTGTTTTGCACCCTCCAGTCGTATAGTCACCTCGGTTATAGCCTTTTGCATTGATTCAATCTCCAAATAAATTGAATGCCTTTCCTTTTCAAAGACTTCGTCTAGCTGTTCTGGAATGAGCTTTCCTGAGGTGAAGAGTTGAGGACTGCAGAACAATGAAATCGACCGTACCTTGGTTTCTCAATTGTGCAACACGAGCATCGCGAAGTTGTTTCAACTTATTCAAAATTCGCACCTTTTCCTGACAAAATGCCGATGCACTTTTCAAGTCCGCTAGGTACTTTGTGATGGTCGACAAATCCGTGTTTTCCGGTTCCTTCAAAGGAACGCTGCACAGAGCAAAATACAAAAGATGGCATTAAATCGCATTTCTACTGAGTTTTTGGGGTTGAAACTGGTGTTATCACCTTGGCGGTGGCTGTTGAGACGGCTCAGAGGCATCAGCCGCCGATATTCGTGACAGAGTTTCTCCGACAGAAGTTGGCAACACAATTGGCAAGTCTTGACACTGAAATGGAGAAACAAAGTTCATTACTGTCTTCTCAAAATAACCTACAGGTCTTTTCCTGCGCCGATTTCTTCCACTCTTCCTCTTCATTATCTGCAAGAGGTCAGGATCGGTACATTCTTGCTCAAGGCGTTCAAGTTCCTCCTAAATAAAGTTAAAAATTGTTGATTAGACTAATTCTTGCCTAAAAACGCATTTGTCTGTATTTTGCCGACAAAATAACTCAACTGCGAGTTGAAAAGACATCAAAAAAAAAAACATTTTACGCAACATTATTACAATCAGCTCCTACTTTCAAGTTAGCGAGTAGGAATGATGTTTTGGAAAGGAGAATTTCCTTTCCATGCGAAGAGTCACGTACCTTAGCGCTTGCACTCTTCGAATTCTCCAATAACTCCTTCCATCGGACAAGCTTCTTTTTAAAATCAACAACAGAAAGCCGCCTCTTAGCATCCAGCTCTTCTCGTCGTTGAGTAAATGTTGGACCGAATTCAGTCTCCCAGAGGGAGACTATGGATGAAGCAGTATCGGGCATCGGAGATGGAATGGTAGAGACCGGTGGTGGAAAAAGAAAGTTAGGTCTCATCATCATTCCAAGTGATTCGGGTTGTTGATAGGTGAACATCATGGGTGGTGGTTCGAAAATCATGCGTTGAGGTGGATAGCGCCACGGTTCCATGCTTGTCCACTAAACTGTGAAAAAGGAGTTAGCGAT